TTCCAAATCATCCGAGAAAGCTGAACAACTGGTTTCTTATTGTTTTCACTAGACGGATGTAAAAGGAATGAGAACCAGTTGTAAATAGGAAGTGACATAATGGGAATTTAATAAGTGATCAACGACGCCAAAAGCTATCTGAAGACAGTCCGGGCCTTTCGCAACCCACCTCTTGCCAAACAACATCCCTGATTATACGTTATTAAACGTTTCGAAATAAATTCAAATTGATCGTCCCCAAGCCGAATCGCCAACACGGACAAATTCACTCGTATTAATAAAAATCAAATTAACCTAGTGTAAATCATCTAAGGGCGACCCACGACTCGTTGTTACTGAATCCACCATAAATCATGCCGCTAAACAAATCAGTGGTGTTACTTAGTAAAAAGGTGGAAAAAAGCCCAGGGGGCTTGGTATTTTTCTTGTGTCAATTCCGACGGCTTGTTAGTGAGATGTCATTATCAGCCGGATTTAATTGACATTAACAGATTTCTCGATTCTCCTTTGCCTACGCGCTTGAATATTTTTCCGGTCATCGCGATTCCAGTGCGTAGAATTAATTGGAATTGATTCTCCAGTCAACGGGAAAACTAACATGGAAAGCATTTTTGTTTAAGCCAGTTCTAGCTGGAATATCCAGTCAACAAATCAGAATTTCTGTCTTTCATAATGGCGCAAATTTAGCGCTGTCAAATTTCTCCTGAAAAGAATGACTGCCCCTAATTTTGTAAGTACAGGAAATTCCAATTTCAGGTTTAAAGAATGTCTAGTAAGTTCTCACATAACACAAACAAAACTCTTACATAATAAGATAAAATGTTCACTAGAAAGTAATATNTTATATATAGAGAGAGAGAGAGAGAGAGAGAGAGAGAGAGAGTGAGAAAGACATAGAAAGAGAGAATTCTTCAAGTAGTTCACTGTAGTACGTTTTATGTACAACATATAATATATAGTTGATCTATGCATTTATGTATACAAATATGAAATAAAAAGAATAAAACCACATACAAAATGAAAGATGTCGAAATAAATGTCTTTTTGACCTGTAAGGTATGTCATTCAGTGAAATTATAATAAAACCTTGTTATATATCAAGAAAATAATAAATTTATTTTATTTATTAAGGTTTTGAATTGTCGTATAAACTGAATAATCCATAAAAAATATTCGATTTTTATCGGCTTTGAATAAAATCTTCACTTTTAAAGCCATTTTCAATTCTATTTCTAGTTTTACTCGCATTCCTATAGTTAACATCAAGTTTTAGCTTTAACCGTAAACGTTTTATTTTATTTTAGCCTTGAATTTACATAAAAATAGAATTTTAAGCGTAAACAGATTCCGGTAGATCGATGAAAGCGGCAGAAAGATTATTTGAAAAATTTCAATTTAAGGAAGTCACTAGGAATGACTGCATATTATTGATTAATAAATGAATTATTTAATTGTACTTATTATTTGCAAATACTTGCTCGAAGATCAATGTTAAAATCTCAGATGCGACGAACAAAATCAAGCAAATTCTAAAATTGCAAAATTAATACACTATTAATGATGAAAAATTAAAAGTGAAGTTATATTTATTCAATCATGAAACTATTTTCATTAGGACGAAGTGTGAATGTCGTCAGTTGAAGTGTTAATTTATAAAGGGAGCCTGAGTTCTGAAAGCACTAGCCTTCCTTACGTCAATCATCGTTCATTGAATATCTGCATCAACACTCAAATAGTATAACCAACTATCAAACCAGACGTGCAATTGTACCTCATTATGTCGTTAGCTAAAAAGGAAATTGACATTTATAATAAATAACCGAGGTAATTTTATGCAAAAACTGGTCTAGGACTAACCTTCAAGTCAATGGTAAATATTACATTTCATGTCAAAAACGTAATGTAATTTAATATTTTTTGTCATGATTTAATAAATAACTAAAGTGTTTGTGTCAGGAGTTTAAAACTTTTTGAAGTTCATTATCTATAAATGTCCTAATGGCTTTAATAGAGAATTTTTGCAATACCGCCTACAACTTAATAAGTAATTTCAATTAATTAAGGTTTTGGTTGAGATAAAAAGGTCAGTGTCACAAGCGGGATTCGAACCCACGACCTACGGCCAAATACGCCACTGCACTACCACTTGAGCGATCGTGACTTCGATTCACTCCGACACTTACTTCCCATCTCAACGCCACCTTTTGAATTTACCCTCCTATTTGGTCAAGCGGAATACGAAGCCTAATAAAATGTCATGACAAAAATTGAAGTATACTTCAAGTATATTGACATTAGGTACACGACATTTGAAAAATGGCATAAAAGAGGGAACATTCAAAAGGTGGGGTTCAGATGGGAAGTTAGTGCCCGAGTGGATCCAAGTCACGATAGCTCAAGTGGTAGAGCAGCGGCGTATTAAGCCGAAGGTCGTGGGTTCGAATCCCGCTCGTGACACTGACTTTTTTATCTCAACTAAAAACCTTAATTAATTGAATGATATTAATTGGACAAGCGGACCACGAAAACTAGTGATTTTAATGAGTTAAAATGAAGTATACTTCACTAAAGCTCTCCATGGCCATTTCATTTGTCGCCGAAAATCAAATAGATTTCACGACATTTGAAAAATGGCAAAAAGGAGAGAAAATTCGAGAGGTGAGGTTGAGATGGGAAGTTGGTGTCCGAGTGGATCAGCCCGGCGTATTTAGCCGAAGGTCGTGGGTTCGAATCCCGCACGTGACACTGACTTTTTATCTTAACCAAAATCTTAATTAATTGAAATGAATTTATTTGGTCAAGCGGACCACAAAACCTAATAAAATTAATAAGTAATACATATCCATCGTTAGGAAATTCTCAGTATTTTTGTACGTCTCTAGTCGTACCTCGACTCTAGATGTTCAATAGTACAATGCAAAAAAACATGCTTTGAATGAGAAGAAGAATACAGACATGTTAAATTTACACCAAAGCAGGATATAACATTTAAGGAATTTCGTTCATACATGCGTATGTAATTGAACATTATTTCTGCTATAAAATGGGTATAAAAACCATTATAATCTTGGATGCCTAATTACGGATATCAACCAACCTAGAAGACATTAGAAACTTATAAAAAGAAAAAACAACTTTGGTCGTTACATTTTTAGTCTAACTATACATGCTGATGTTGGTCTGTCTCGCTATCGTCAGTGTCATTTTTAAAAACTGGAGTCTTTGGATGGGTAGATAATACTATTTCCAACAACAACAAAAAAACAAGAAGAAACGCGACTGACAGACCAACTATGGTAAGAGAGCCTGAGCAAAATTATCAGTAACGACCAAATAACAAGAAAACATAAAGACCGCTTTTATAACAATTAAGTTTAATGTTGAGTCATACAAACTAGTAATCTTACAGTCCTGATTGAATCTTGTGGGTTTCAAAAATGATATATCCTGGCTCTCAGATAATAGTCAAACGTGATAGTTTCAATTATGCCAAATACAAATAGGACGATTTTCACGTCGCCTTGCTTCACCGATCTGGTTTTTAATATGTTATATCTCAACCAATCCAGTCGATTATAAGGCTGATAATACAAAAATAATGATCAGGTAGAAAGATCGGAAGATTAAATTCCAGATATATATATTAAAAAAGTTGTTGGAAATTAAATTAAATTTGAAAAGGTACGAAATGCTCGAAGTGTTGTCATTATAAAATTAATTTCACCAATAATTATGTAAATTCTTTGAGTTCTTTAAGTGATCTTGTGCAACTCGAAACATCGGGGGAGAAGGCTATTAAAGGACTTGATAAAGCAGTCGCTAAAGTTTTGATCCTAATTGACAACTGATGCTATCTCTGCCTAACCCAGAGCGATGTAACAATTTTGCTTATTAATTTATTCATGAATTTTCCGCCTGACGCTTTTTTCCACCTGATTTCAGTTGACGTGAACTGTTATTTCTATCACTTTCACCGTTCTAATTTATAAAAGCAGGGACTGTTATATTAATATATATTGATAACATGATTTATGTACTTCCAATACGTGTATTATGTTTGCCCTTGTTGTTTAATTGATATGGGCCCTCCATGAGGAAGGCTTAATAGGACAAATGATGATGTCAAAACTAGTTTTGGTATCGGCTCGATCTTTATCTCCCATTAACGAGGGTTCAACTCGCCCTGAGCATTCCTTGTTCCAAAGGACATTTACATGATTGAGCTGTTTAAATGGAAATTGTAAACAGAGGTAGTTTGGTATTTTATTGTGGTCGATGAATTACGTTACACAGTTTTGAATCAAATGCACGTTCAATAAATCTCGTTTTTCATTAAAAAACAACGATTTTGAAACTACGCTTAAGTTTTCATGAAACCTCAGCTTTGACCCTATAAACCAAAACTTTCACTAGGAGATAATTGCTTGTTCTACCCTTCATCACCTTACTGGCCATAATCGAGGCATTACTTTTGGGAAAACGAAATTTGAAAAACAGTTTGGATTTGACAATTATTTTAAAACAAGTCAAACAAAATAACATTTCAAATACTGAATTTTTAATATTCATAAAAACACTATTGCTAACGTTATTGTATTTGTGTAAAATATGTTACATGACATCAAAAGCAGCAGGTATGAGAAATGTATATAACTTAATATCTGTTTCATTCTTAAATGTAAACCTTAAGAACCTCATGTGGTTTGTAATTTTTAATTTTTTTCAAATTATTATAATTTGAAAAGTTTTTATATTAACGCACCAAACTTTATTATTTAAGTATCTAATGACTTATAGGTTTCTAATATTTAGCGATCTTTATATTTTATAATTTTATACTTATTATTTTATACTTTATATATAGTATAGTTTTATACCTTTATATCGAGTACCTATATCTTAGTTTTTATATATTTATCTTTCTTTTCTTCTCAGTCACTCTCTTCTCATTTGTTTTCTCTTCCTATCTTATATCAAATTATTATCTTAACATACGATATATGCATATCACGATGGACCTTCACGCCCCACAGATCCAAGGCTTCTTCGACATTCCTGTCGACAATCTTTACGCCGAGCCAGCAGTCCTTAAGTGGATCAAGGAAAACATTCCAGAACGGAGGAATATCATCATCGTCTCCCATGTTGCCGGTGGTGCTAAAAGAGTGACATCCATCGCAGACAGGCTAAATGTAGAATTTGCCCTGATCCACAAGGAAAGGAACAAGGCAAACGAAGTGGCTTCAATGGTCCTTGTAGAAGATGTGAAAGACGGGGTTGCTATACTTGTTGATGACACGACTGACACGTGCGGCACAAACTGTCATGCTGCTGAAAAGTTGATGGCCGCCGGAGCCACTAAAGTGTAAGCTATACTCAGTCACGGAATATTCTCCGGACCTGCTATATCAAGAATAAACACTTCCCGCTTCGAAGCAGACGTGGTTACAATCACAATACCACAGGAGGAACATATGAATGATTGTCCTAAACTTAGGTGTATTGACGCTTCAATGATATTTGCGGAAACCACCCGACGTACACACAACGGAGAATCTGTATCGTATCGATATATGCATACATATCACTTATTTGTTTTGTATCTATTGTTTTATTTCATATCTTTAAATCGAATATTGTATAAACATTGTTTGAATTTGAATTATATAATTATAAATTAATATAAAGAACAAACTTTATATATATTATCTGTATTTGCACTTCAGTTAAATTTATGCTACATAAATAAATGTCTAATGGTGTCACTTAGTAGATATACTAAAATAGTTTTCATGAAATAATCAATAGAAAGCTGTTTTGGTAAAATGATATAAATAAGCTCTGTGAGAAAGGTAATTTGGACAAATTGGATGTATTGCAGGTTAAAAAAAAATTGAATGTAACAGATAAAATTTAATGTTTATGATTATAGACTGAGAGAAGAACTTTTTTAGCAACCCCTCGTCATCCTCTCTATAAACATTTTTGTAGTGTTAGCCAATATGTACGGTCCGAAATAAATACAAGTTCGATTAGTTGGCTAATAAACATTAGAAATAAGTTAATCTACCTAAATAAATATCGAATAATAAAATAATTAGATGACGGCTTAAAAGGGTGCCCGATATGTAACCATGGGGAGCAGGAATATTTTTATCATTTTGTTGCTTTCTGCCCTATCCTTACTGAGTACCGGTTAGTTTATTTTAATACATCTGTATAGACAATTGTGGAATTTAGTGAATATTTAAGTTGAAGGAACTTCGATTGTTTAGTTAAATACTGTAAGAACGCCTGGCAATGCACATACAGCGTAGTAATTTAATTTAACTGCAAAAGCACCTATGCCTACATAAGTATTTGTTAATGACTATTTTATTAAAATGTCTTAAATGTAATTTTAGATTAATATTTTGTGTACATAGATCATTTTAGATATGTAGAAATGTGTAGAGATTAGTGACCGTTAATCGATAGTTATTGAGATATCGTGAGATGCGGTCGGGAGTGATGTAGGTTTCAGAAAAACATTTTCTTTATCGTGCCAACGTTTCGATTTTTTATTGAGCCCTGAAGATGATCTCAATAAAAGATCGAAACGTTGGCACGACAAAGAAAATGTTTTTCTGAAACCTACATCACTCCCGACCGCATCTCACGATATCTGAATAACTAGATATGTAGAAAATTGAATTTTTTGGCAGTTCATGTTAATTGAATTTTTTGGCAATTCATTTTAATTATGTTCTATTTGCATTTCATTATTATTTTCCTTTATTTCTGTCAAGATTTCTTTTTTGTTGTAAGGCGTTAACTCAGACACCCTCAATGGCTAAGACTATGTCTAGCGTATGAATAAAGAAAGAAATGTGTAATGTTTTTGTATTTCTTAATAATGACTTTTATTATTATTATTATATTATTAAAATCTGTAATTGTATAAAATTATGTCGTTGAATGTAAAGAGTGATCAGTATGACACAAAATGAAACCGCATTCATTTCTTCTGTCTGTCTGCCTTCCTGCCTTCCGTCCGTCTGTCTGTCCGTCTTTCTCTCTCTCTCTCTCTCTCTCTCTCTCTCTCTCTCTCTCTCTCTCTCTCTCCCCGCTCTCTGTCACTCATATATTCTATCTAGCTCACTGTTGAGCTTTTACTGCCACCCTCGCTCTCTCTCTCTCATTCCCACTTTATCTTTCTTTCTTACTCTGGCTCTAGCATACTACTGCCTAGCTCTATTTTTCTCTTCTTCAGAGATATGTATGATGCAACTAGTTTTTATTGTTATTTTTATTACAGAATATTGTTAAACAAAAATTTTCTAGTTTTCTTCTTTAAGAAAAAAAAAAAAATACCCTTGCCAGTGTATGCAAGCGAAGATTGACCTACCTTTGACTTCTCGACTGGATGAAATCAGGCGTGGAATCAGACGGATGGAAAAAAAATTACAACGGAAGAACAGGCACGAGGATCTGACGCGTTCGCGGCTCGTACGGTGGCGTGCTTGCTACTTAAAGTTGGCTGTGTAGGTGACAATTCAGAGACGATAAACAATAAATACCAAAATAAACAGATATAATTATAGATTAAATAAGGAATACTTAGGAAATATGATAAATTATGCTATTCCAAATCTAAATACTTGGTATCTCAAAACGAACAAAGCATAATTCCAATCCAATTTAATTTAACGTTATAGTGTTAATTTATATTTATTTCTGTATAACTTTCTTATTAATCGATTAATTAGAGAAACATCTTTGATGTGCCATTGAGAAGTACAACCGGAACAATCTGAAACTACGCAACTTGATTGTTTGTAATAGGTATTAAAAGATAAAAATAATCCAATTAGAAGATTATACATAATGTCCTTCCCAATTAAAAGACAGATTTAATCCCCTGTTTCTAATTAACCGAAGAGCGTGTGCGCTGTAGCGAAATCGATTATTCTTATTCATTATTATTTCCTAACGCCAAACGTCTTCTAAAGGTCGGTCAGTCTCGCATTTCAGGATTAAATAGCCGGCCCTTATCCAAAGGACCCCTTGAAAATACTAGCGCCGACAACATCAGGCCTTATTAGGGTGGTGGAAGTGTACAAATGTCCGACAGTCCTATCTCACACCATCTGGACGCATTTGTAAACGGGGAGGAGTGCACAATAAACGGCCGGCTGTACCTCGTCAAATTAAAAACCGCTGCTACACAAGTAATGAGGTGGAGGCACGTGCAAGTTGGGAAGTGGGTGTAGTCGGATGGTTAATGGAACGGCGTGCCCTCAGCCTCTCACTGCATCAATATAAATCTAAGATTAACATTACAGATACAACTTTTCTTACCACTACCTTACTCGGTAATGTGTGGTACCATTCCTACCTTAACGAAGAACAGTTTATTAATCCGCCCTGCTTGAATCATGTTTCATCTCGTGCAGCGTATCTTTCACATCGCTTTCACAATTTCTTCATTGGTTCTATCATGTTCTTATACTTAACTGTTCTCAACGTGTGTAACATGACATTTCTGAGTTAAGAACCATTCTTGTTGAGGTTATGTATTTTATGGACTGTTTATAAAACGTAGAAAACACTAAAGCATAAAGTATAACTACGCTCTAACTACTTGCCATATTTAATTAATTATTACGCCTATTATTTCAATTGGTTTAAAAAACGTACGTTACACCACATGTCTAATCCTAAAATTTGAAAATACATACAATAACAGGGAATTTATGAATAATATCAGACATTTACAGGGTGTCCCTTGACGCCACGGGAATATTTCAGGAGGTTATCCTTCCTACAAGCCAAATTGGTCAAAAAGTCTCAAGGTTCGTTTTATCTTACCTTCATCTTTCAAAACTTTTCCCATTAAGCGCTGTTCGTTAAATGTTAATCCTGCCGTAAATTTGATTACATCTATGGAAAAACATAGAAACCATATGGGCTTCATTTCTTTTTTTACTGTAATCTTAAACAAACAGAATTCAATGTCAGCTAGCAGATAAACTTTTACGAATTTTGGATGTTAGCGCAATATTGCAAAAACATATTTTATTGCTCCAAATTTATTTTTTTATGGAAGACAGGAAATTACCTGCAGTTCGAGATTATTTTGTGGAGTGGTTGAGTACTGGTGACAGGTGTGAACTTTTATGTTACCCTTTTTAGGTAAAGGAACGAAAGTCCTGGCTAATAATGTGTAACCGCAGCACTCAATAATAAATTTACCTCTACTTTAAGAGTGAATGGATAAACTTTAATAGGCAAATTAGGACATTTATTTTGACCTATTTGAAGCCCAAATCGGACAGTGTCGTACGCTTTTTTGATGTCCGGTAAGCGCATTTCTCTTACTGATAATGATACACTTACGAGTTAAACAGTACATGTCGGTTTAAACTAGATACAATGCTTTCATCAGCAGCTTTGCAATTGAGTTTAGGTTATTTTCCTGGTCTTATTGATATAGAACTTGCAGTGGCAGTAATATTTACGAGTACTTTCAACACGTTCTGAAGCCTGTTTAGTGTACTATCAATTCTGAATCACGAGGAGATAATAGCTGAATGGAACTTTAGGGGTATTCACGATGTTTGTAAGATGTTATCTCGTGTTAACTCGAATAGAGAAATGTCCAGTAAGATTTTGAATTTCTCCATCTTTTCTTAGCAGGTTAAACGTTAATTTTTCCGCAATGTTGCGTGTGGCGATTGGTAGAACCAAAAATAAAGCTATAACAGTCCTTGAAGGCTTGTTGATGTTTGGATTGGTTTTCTTTTTGTTAAATTGTAAGATGCTAGAAGTTAATAAAAAAGGAAAATTAATCTACTCTTTCATTCAAAATGCTCTATATGCACTCGAAAAGTACTAACAAATGACATGCTTCAATTCGTGCCGACATACCTAACTTGTATCCTAATATCTATCAGCCTATAACTATGAATGAGAGTATAAGGACAGGTCAGAAATTAACAAAAGAAATGTATTGGTCTGATTTAATTAATGCGTTTTTAAGAATAAAAATAAGTGTAAACAAAATCAGCTGTTAAATTCATGGCTGCCATGTTGGTTAGGTACGCCCTAACGGATAGCAAAGTGACTACATTTTCGACCCAAATCTACCATTGGATCTGGCCTGTTAGATCAAGCAATGTTAATTAGCTGATTCTAACCAGTCTACGTCATCATTTTTCTCGATCTAACAGAACCTAACAGAGTTAACAGGGTTAGCACAAAGATCGTGAATACCCCTGTTATATACATTGAAGATAGGACTTTTGTATCTTTACGGTGTAGTACATCGTTAATAAAAAGTGGAATATTCTGGTGAGAGGCATGAACCTTGAGGTAATCCCTCACATTCAGTGGGATGGGTTCAGTGGCTACATTATTTGATTATTTTTGTAGTTCGAGCGGAATCTACACAATTTTTGAGAATGCTATTAGCTACTACATTTCGGTTTAACAAGATAAAATAAATATCTCAGTAACTTTTCCAATTGGATTTAACAGGAAGAATGGTCTGAATTTAGCTGGTTCTAAACATACTTTTCTTGATTTTGCTGTAAACATCTTGTTTTCTGCTTGCAACAGTCGGTAAACATCGAAGTTTTATAGAATTATTTAATATTTAAGAAGCTGACAATAGCTTATCATTGGCAGTTTCCTGAGCGTAACAGGTAGTAGGAGGTTTGGTCTGTTCCAGGGGATTTTTCTGTCGATTTTAGCCCTTTCAGTAATTTTTTTTTTACTTTTCTTTTGTTTGTGTTTCTCATGCAATTGCGTTTTAGAACTGTAGAAAGTACTGCTACTAATAATGATATCAGAACATCCGTTATCGTTTAGCAATCTTTATAAATATAGTCGCTGTTTATTTTTAATGGAATGAATGCATTTTTAATTAATTTTAATAAACGGATTTTGCGAAGATGGAGTAGGTTTTTAAGAT